CATGAAAGGCAATGAGACTGAGCTAGAACAAAATCAGCTGCTCGTTCTGAAGTGACAGGCTAATATAATGTAGATGATTTCATGGTGCCCGTGTTTACCTATCTTGGTGAAAAAATCAGTAAATCAGTAATGGCTCCAAAGAAATATGAGATAGACATCAATTTTGAGGAAAGTGAACTTTGCAAAGACACTTCTACCAAAAGAGTGATTTAAAAAAAAAAAAAATCAAATCTATTTTAAGAACTTCTTGTGTTAATTTTTGGCTGCGTCTTATCAGCAATTCTGTTTTCATGAGAATACAAAATGTCTAAAGCATTTACTCTGGTAGCATCATTCATGGCATTTACTGATTGAATATTTGTTTAAGAAGCTTAAGAAGCAAGTGCTGTATTAAAAATAAAAATACTGATTGGAAGTTTCTCTGTTAGAAGCACTCTTGAGTTTAAGTCCCTAAGGAACTGAATGGTTTAAGTGCTTTCTCTGTATGTGAAAGCACTTAAAACTGTGAAATCCATCCAGGACTAGTATCTGCATGAAATCTTTTTTTGAACAGAGAGTCTACAAAGTGTAATAATTCATTTTGAAAAGTAATTTTGGTATGAAAATTACAGCTTTAATGATGGAAGTATTAGTAGTGTGACAGCAGGTGTTTGCTAAGCTAGGTAACTTGTAAGCTAATTTCTAGAGAGATGCTAAAGAATGTTAATTTACAACCCTTTCATCATCTCAAAGCAAAACACTAATCCTGAGAGTTAAAAATATGCTTGGTTCTTGGTGGCTGTATTTTTAATAAAGGCTTAAGATAAATTGCACGTAGCAGTTGAAATCAAAAAATGCTTTTGTGTATTTCATTAAACATGGGAGTGTTTGTGCTTTATGAACTAGCAGTTGCAGGAATGGAAGTTATTAAAAGGCATTTTTAAATCTTTTTGTAGAATCAACGTCTGAGAAGACTGGACAAAGTGGAAAAGTGCTGAGGAGCCGGACGTGCATCATTAACTACAAGAAACATACAAAGCTGTCTAATGTGACGGAGAAAAAAAATCCACGAAGGTGTGCCACTTTGGCAGCTAATAAGATAAAGATAATGAGTGATACAAAGGAAGAGTTATCAAGCTCAGAAAGTGTTTACACGGTGAAAAAGAACAGGAAGCACCTTCATGGCGGAGTATCTGCGGCATCCAGGAAGAAACCGCTCAGCAGCTCAGAGGTAGATGTTAGCTTGATGTCTGAAAATGAGAAGGAACAGTGTTCTGGCAGAAAAAAACTTTCTTGCCCTGAATCATCTGCTCCTAAGAGAAAATATATTAGCGAGTCTGAAAACGAAAAAACAGAATCTGAGGTGGAGGTAGAAGTGACTCAGAAGCAGAACGATGGTAATGACAGGCAGACGCACAGGACTGTCCATGCTGCAGCTCTTAAAAAGGAGTGCCACTCTTCAGGGGAGGATTCCACAAACTACAAGGTAGAAAACGGGAGAAACTGGAGAACTTCTGATCAATCAACTTCAGCTCACAACCATCATATAAGCGACTCTGAGGAGGAGGTGGATTCTGAGTTAGGTAAACGTGAAACTAAAAATAAGAGACGAGTACCAAAAACAAAATCTAGAGGTCGCTTCAAAAGATCAAAATTATCAAATGACTTAAAAGAAACACCAGAATCTGAAACGGGGGGGAAGAAAGATGAAAAAAGCTCGGTATCGGAGAATGTGGAAACACCTGAGACTGCAGGAAGCTCAAAAGCCAGTTTCAATTGTTCTTCTGATTCAGACTCTGGAACTGATAACAGTATATACAGTGATGCCACAGAAACAAAAAAGAGAAAAAGAAAAACAGACACCATTAGAAAAGAAAATTCTGATTTGTCTAAGCCTTCCAGAAGACCCCAGCGAAGGAAACGTCGGAAACCTAATCAAGAAAATGACTCTGAAGATTTGGATTACACCAAATATAGAAGAGCTAATCGGCGTTCTAAGATAAGAACTCGAAATAGGGGTAGACGGACTGTGAGATACGACGATTGTGACGATGACGACGACGATGACAGAGGTTTAGGTGACGTAGTTCGTGAAACGTAACCTTAAGAGGAAAAGCCAGCCCACTTTTTTTTTTTTATGGTAATAGCACTAGAACTCACGACGGATGCTGGCTCTTCCTTGTCCTACATTTCAGGGAATATATTTATATTTTTCTATGAAAAAGTTATGAATGTGATTAGATCATGACTTTCTCCTTTTCATATTTTGACTTGCACTTGCCTGCCCATGTAGCAGCATTTAGCACAGATGCCAAAATGTGCCTCATTATAGGGGCAATTTTTTTTGTCTTTACTGGTATTTTATTACATATAACAAGAGTTTAAAAAAAAAAAGTTAAAACACTGCGCAACAGGTTAATAGCAGTATGTTGAGTATTATTGTTATGGGTGCTGCAATGGAATACTACCTAGGTCATACAACATTCAAGAACTGATTTCAAACATCTCTAATGCTGTATGAAATCATATACAATATTAACAGGCTTATAAATAATAATGTACACTATAAAAATCCGGTGGATGCTAGTGTTGCATCAAAAGCGTAATGAGCAGTCACTAAGGTAACAACATTACAGCTTGTATTAGTACAGATGCTAAATGTTCTGTACACTCGTAATTGAAAACATACAACTAGAACCAGTTACCAGTGAAAAAGTGTATTTGCCAATTAAAAAGGCATATTGGTGCTGGTGAAGAGAGGGTTTATGCTGACAGGTAGTACTATCATTAATGTGACTTCTATCCTGTAAACTAAACTTAAGAATATGAAATGCAGGTGAACTCTTGGGCCTAAGGGTTTTTGTGTGTTTTCTTTATAAAATAGAAAAAACAACAAAACACTTGTTCTGTTTTTTTTATGCGTGAAAAGTTTGAGGTGCAGGATTCTTACATTCCAGACCTTTTTGCTATATTTCCGTTGTTCTTCCATATTTAAACTTCTAAGTGCTTTAATGTTAGATTTTTGCGTTGATTAAACATATCAGTTTGGACTGTTGCAGTATATCTACCAATTTTTGAAATGCTTGAGGTGGCTGCTGTTGTCAAGAAATAATTGTTGCTTAGGAGATCAGAGAAAACTTCTCCAGGGAAAAAATGTATAAATTCTTGGTTGGCCTGTGTATCAAACGAGAATGTGTAGCACCTCTAAATTCTTCCCTTGCTTTTCCCTGGAGCTGTGCTGGCTGAAGCTGCCAGGTCACTGCCTTCAATCCAACATGAGGTGCTTGGCAATCTCAGCTCCTGTCCCACTCTGCTATAGGATTCCTGCCTCTCCTCTGCTGGTTCAGTTTCTCACATGGCTGATGCATGCAATTCCTGATCTCCTTGTTCAATAGGGGATATGGTAGAGTATTAGATCTGTCCTAACTCAGCTCATCTTAACTGAACTAGCAAGCTTGTGAGTTATAGCAGATTGGACAGGTAATAGTATCTCGAAGGGCTTTGGGGGGAAAAAGTTAGTGCCGCTTCATAATCAGATTTGTTAATGAGTGCTTATGCAAATGGCAGTGAAGTAATGGAAAAAGGAGGACCAAATGCTGCCTACCAGCAGTTAATGAGAACCACGTCTCCAGCAGTGTTGCTGACATTGTGCCAAAAGGTGCATTGACCATCACAGCATTTTGGATCTAGAATGTCATCTCAGTGTAGAGAAGTACTATTTTTTTTCCTTAAAACTTCTGTATGAAGTCCAAGATTAACCTAGTTTATGTCATTCTTGCCCCAGGAATGTTCTTTATTTAGTGCATAGTCTTTAATATAATAGCAGAATTTTGTACATTCAAGATACATGTTTATTTGAAATCTTTAAGTTGGTTTATAAAATATGAACACAGTTCTGTTTGGTGATGAAACCTGACTCTTCAAAGTGGCTTTGTGTGTTTTATCTCTTAGCAGCATCTTTGTTAAAAAAGAACAAGTCAACTGGTATTTTTGTGTTATCCATAAATTGAGTACTTTGTTTAGCAGCTGCTTATGAGTAATGTTCTATGAAATATAACTTCCAATATAGGGATGAAAACTGGTATAAGAGCTTTTATAAGTGATCATCACAATTTTTATTGAGTTCAAACAGCTAAAATTGGGCTGCTAGGTTTGTATTTATAATTCAGCCTTAGATTTAAAAAAGTTTTTCTTTCTTGCCATTCAGATGCTGTATTCTCTGTCATACTGCACTCATGCACTGTGTGTTCGTGATGATCCCAGACCGCTGAGAGCAAATTCTGGCCTCTGTATTTGTCTATCTGAGAGGAAATTACTAGCTTAGGGGTCGTAACACTTTCTTTTGTAAGCAAAGCAAATACTGTTTTGTATTTTTTGTTTTTATACCCAGATTGTGGAGCCAGGAGGAGGGGAGACGATTAAACGGTAAAGGGATTTTTGTTGCTTGTTCACCCGCCATGAGTTTGGGTGTATTTATTTATTTATTTGTAAATGGGGCACGGTTACTCTGAGGAGAACTGGGTCTCCTGAGTGTTGCAGAGAGCCCCCTTGCCCTCTTCCTGGTGACCGCAATCATTCAACACTATTTATTTGGTCTCGCTGTACTCAGGGAAGTAAAGTGATTTAAGTAGAACTGAAAAAAAAAAAAAAAGTAGTATCTTTATTTAAAGCTGCTTAATGTGTGATGCTGGTTTTCTTTGTTTTGGGTGGTTTGGGTTCTTCTTTATTTTGCTTTTTAAAGCAGGACCTGACTAGGCTAACAGCACCAACAGCGGGCAGTACTAAAAGCGCAGGCCCAGAAGCGTTAGGCGAAATCCCTTTTATTCCCGAAGATTTGCGCTGTACATGTAGCCGCGGACCGAAGTAAAGCCCTACGTCTGCACCCCAACCTCCCTCTGTTATTTGCGACCCCTCGGTAACGGGCTGAGGGGCGGCTGAGGGGGGGGGGGTAACGGCCCTAACGGCCGCAACGGCCGCCCGCTGGGTGGCGCTGAGGGGAGCCCTGCGGGCGCGGCGCGCATGCGCGGGGCGCTGAGGGGGGCGGGCGGCCATGGCGACGTTCTTCGGGGAGGTGGTGGCGGCGCCGTCCCGGGCCGGCGTGGACGACGAGGACGAGGAGGAGGCGGCGGGGCAGGCTCTGGAGGAGACGCCCGAGGACCGGGAGATCCGCAGGAGGGTGGAGGAGAAGAGGTAGCGGGGAGGGGAGGTTTGGTGGGGGGTAGGGGGGAGCTGGCGGCGGTGTCCGGGCTGCTGCAGGGCCCCTCCGGCTGTGTCGCAGGGAGGTGGCCGTGCGCTGGGCGCTGCCCGCGGGAGAAGCCGCGCCGGGAGCCGCCGCCGAGCCCCTGCGCTGCTCCAGGTTTGTCGTCGCCGTGGGACACAACGCCGCAGGTAGGCGGTCCGCGGGGGGGGCGGCCGCGGTGTGAGCCGCACAGGGCTACAGTCCTCTTGGGTGTCCGGCTCTCCGGGGTTGTTTGTGAGTTTGGAAGTGTTTCCATGTGTAATGGCAGGCAGCTCCGTGCAGGCTGGTGTTTACAAGTAGGTGACTATCAACGTCGTAAAACTGCATGTCAGTAAGCTATCGCACTTCTGCCCATGCTTCAAAATGCACTTCGGAGGGCCTGGAGTTACATCGTGAACTTGCCTTCGCTCCTGCTGTCCTCAGAGCGCTTAGAACTGACTAAACCAAATGTTCTGGTTGGCGTTCTTAGAATTGCAGATGTTCTTTCACTCGCCACTTTCTTTAAAAGCTCTTGAACGTGCATTAACTCTTCCTACTACGTGAGTGTGAGAAGGTCTCTGAGGTTTTATTGTCTCGATTTTTGGAAATTTTCCATGTCCTCGTGTAAAATCAGTTTCAGTTTATTTTAAAATCCTCAGCAAAGTCTAACTTAAATGTGAATACTTCTGACTTTAATTCTTCCTCACTTTCTTTCATTACTAATGAACAATGATTCTTTTGCATGTTTTTTTTCTTGATCAATCTTTCTCTCGCCTTTTCATTCCATGATTGTCTGTATTGCCCTGTTTGAGGTGCCTATTCATTCATTAGGCCCAGAGTCTTAGGACAACCTCTCCCTTCCTCCTCTCCCTCCGCAATGGTCTTGAGCTTCTGAGTAGCTCTTTGCCTTTGTGGATATAAAGATGTTCTAAGGTTACTGTATATTTATCACAGACATCCTTATCCATAGTAAACCTTACTAGCTTGTTTTGTTGTTTTATTTATTTATTTATTTTCCTTTAATAGTAGCAAAAGACATATTTTAGACCTGTCATATGTTTAACAGGAACTAATTTGGTTTATGATCTTTGATTTAGTATCCTTTTTGTCATTAAGCCTTGAGTACTGATGTGTCTGCTTCCTAGAGACAGCCTAATAGTTCTGCCTTGCTGGCTCAGTGTTTGTTTTGTCTGAGAAATCTGCTGAATGTGGTATGTCAAGAAATATTAGAGTAGCATTTAACAATATGTAGTAGTAACATTTAATACTTAACATTTAGTAGCATTAAATACTTTAATATTTAGTAGCGTTTGTTCTTACTGTATGCTAACAATCAAAGCTGATTGTAACAATGCAGCTCCTAGTAGTACACGGTTTTGATGCTAGGGATTTCTACCTATATCTAGAACTGCTCCTATCTTTAAAGTCTTGATACAATGAGATTACTCTCATTCTTGATCTTTGCTAGATATGGTCAATAAATACACTATTATTACGTTTTAATTTGAGAAGGTTGTAAAGAAATACTCCAGTTCAGCTGCTTATTTGTAGAACAGAGATTTTATTCTTTATAAATTAACGGAATTTATTTTGCAGCTTTTCTGTCGTCTTTTATTCTGGATTCTGTATGTTGGGAAGTAGTTGGAGCTGTGAAACTGTGGAATGAATGGTGTCGAACATCCAATACAACAAATGTCCTCCCTACAGATTCTTTCTGCCTGTTCTATAGATTAATATCAGATCCAACAGTAAGTGACTTACGCATGAATTCTGCATTTTACCTTTCTGAAAAAGAGAGCAGCCTCCTTGCAACCTCCACCCTGCCCAGAGCAAACCGAGCACAAAGCATTACGGCAGCTATATTCTGGTTTAAACTCAGAAGGTTTGAAGGGTTGTTACACTCACTAAAACCACCTGAAGTTCTGTCCTGGGAAGTTCAGTACAAAGAGGATGCATTGCATGTCTGAGTGTTTTAACAGCAGTTATGAATTAAAAGCTCATGTTGAAATAGAGGTGAAGAAGCCAAAAAAATATTTAACAAGTTGTTTGTTGGCTGTAGTCATACCACCTTCTACACGTGATCATGTTTTGCTCTTTAAACCACTTGATCCCACAACCTCTTTTTTTCCCTTCAGGTTTTGTTGTGTCAGTGTAGTTGCTACGTTGCAGAGGATCAACAGTTCCAGTGGCTTGAAAAGGTATAACTGGTGAAACAACTTTTACTGAGCAGTGAAATGGGGTCTTTAAGTTGGTGCATCTGCCTCTTCTCTCTCTCTACTCTTCTAAACACAACAGCATTGTTAATAACTTTCTGCTGTGTCTTTCTTTCTCAAGTACTCTACAAATAAACAAATCTATTTGCAAATCCTTTGATTTTTTTCTTAATTTTTATTTTTAGTGCTGCCAGTTACATCTGCTGTAATTCACTGTGCAGTTACATCTTTTGGAGAGTTTGTTTTCTTCCTTTTCTGTTTTCTGATCTCATTCCACGGCTTGTTTCAACTGGATTTCAGCTGTGGGAGAGTTCGTCCTTAAAAATAACAACTTAATATGTACAGCTGCCAGATAAACATGCTGTGAAACTCATGGTAGAAAGCATCCTTACTAATGGGTGTGATCTGTTTCATTCACGAGGTGGAACTCTAAAGGAAGCTGCCTCCAAAGCAGTGTTTATCCCATTCTTTTCACACATTGTTTGCTACGTGGGCTGCCCCATGTACACGAATGCTGCTGGTTGTTCAGATCGCCCCAGATAGCACCACATTGATTTTAATAACATGAAACCATGGGGAATTTTCTGGCTGCTGATTTCTGTATGAATTTGGGTCACATCTTAGCCTCAGGGAAGAAGGATTTATTTTGTATTGCTGTTTGTTTGCTAACCTGCCTTCCTTTGAATCTGTACTGAGCTGATGAGCAAGCAGTTTGATTCGAAATCCGTTACATCATGCTGAAGTTGTGCAAGTCTGTGGTCTGAGATCAGAGACGCGTGTCTGCCAAGGCCTCAGCCCAAGCTGAGATGCCTGCTTTGTCCGGCCTGCCAGCTGAGGCAGCTGGCACCAGAGAAGGATTGCTTGGGAGCAGGGGAGAGCTGTAGGAGGTTATTACATGAGACAGCCAGAGAGATTATGGGAGGGCAAAGAGGATGAAAAGCTGGGGTGACTTCATTGAGTGATTTCAGGCCCAGGTTGGTAGAAAATGAGCTTTTTGTCATTCAGTGGCTTGACAAATAGTTTAATTCAATTTTGGGGGTTAGTGGTTGACTTCAGAGTTTAGAAACCTTAGGACCTTAAATGGTTTGGTTTTGCTATGTTCCCCTTTGTTTAAATTGGTATAAGAAAAGAAAGATTGTGACATCATTGTCTTCTCCATTGCTGTTTTTTCAGCTGTTTGCATATGTATTATTACAAATGTAGGTGGTTTTGAACAGAAGAATTACACAGTTTTTACCAAGCCAATGTTACTGTGTATTTTTAGAACTTAAGGTCATTGTTAGTTTTAAATGTACAGCAGAGGTGTCGTGCTTTTGCTTTCAGTGTGAGTTACGGACCTGCTCTGTGTGCTGTGTAAATTGTCATTAACTGTGCATCCTCACAGTCTCCATGAATCAGATCACTTTCTGTGCTTTCTCAGTAAGCGATCACAGACAAAGTAAGAAAGCACAGAAGTTTTGCAGAAGTATGCACTAGCTAGTGTTTCCAACAAAATCAACCATTGTGGTTTAATCTGGCAGACAGCAAAACACCCCACAGCCGTTTCCTCACACCCCTTATTCTTCTGCAGCAGGATAGAGGAGAAAGTTGAAAAGAGAAGTGCAAGATCTCGTGGCTTGAGATAAGGTCAATTTAATAAGAAAAGGGTGGTGGGGGGGGAGAAACAGGAGAAAAAAAAATAACAAAAACACTATACAAAGCACGTGGTACACAACAGAGCTGCTCATCACCAGCCAACCAATGCCCAGCCTGTCTCTGAGCAGCAGCAGCTCTCCTGCCAGCTCCGCTTGGTTTCATTGCTGAGCACAGATCTGGAGAGGAGGGTATCCAGAGCAGAAGGTAGCTGTTTGCTACCTGAACTGAAAATGAAATTCATCTTTGTGTTCTTACACTGTTATTGTGAGCAGATAAATTTGGCTGATGTATTAACATTTTTATTTCAGGTTTTTGGCCATATACAAAAGGAAGGCTTGCAAGTAACCATTCTTTCAACGTGTCCTGTAGCTGATTATAAAACTCAGGAATCCACGTTAACACTTCCATCTCCATTTTTGAAAGCCTTAAAGACGAAAGAATTCAAAGAGCAGGTCTGCTGCCCACTGCTGGAACAACCAAACATAGTGAGAGATCTTCCTGCTGCTGGTATTTTGCAGTCTCACTTTTTTACTGTGCTGCTGGTGACAATATAGAATTTTTTTTGAAGACCATCCCATTGCAATTACAATTTTTAGTTAACTATATGAAGTGTCTACCAAGTTAGCTTTTTGAAAGTTAATTCTTAACTATTCAACATCTTACATTGCCTCATAAAAACACAGACAAATCTGAAAAACAATTTTTTACCACTTCCGTGCAGGATGTCAGTACTAGCAAATTATTTAGTATAACTATGGGAAGTGTACTGTATATTGTTTTTTGGAATATCTTAATTTCTTGTGAACTAAACGTGTTTCAGTAAGTTATTTTCCTCTGAGAATGTCCAATTTGAGGCTTATAAACTTCTTTCTCCTTTTTAAAGTTAAGATAGGTTCCTCAGTGCTACTGGTTGACCTCGTGGAAAAGTTAAATTTAGTTCTATTATTGTACTTGTTATAGAATACCAAATTAATGTAAGTGTCACCAGGAAAAAATTATCTTGCAAGAGCTAAAAGCAGATGATTTTTCTAGAAAAAGAAAACTCATATCATTTGCCCTTTGATTTTGTTTTGTTTTAGCAAAAGCTCATGTTACTTTTGTTTACTCCTAATAATGTGTAATTTCCAGTGAAGGTATTTACCAGGAAGCAAGATGATCTGCATTTTATTGCTTTTTGGTAGTTTATTTTCTTGTGTACCTTGGGAATGAGGGATGGCTGCTCTAGTAGTCAGGATCCTGAGCAGTTAATTGATAAATTTTCATGCTTTTAAAGTTCTAGCAAGATCAAGTGTGATTTTATACATAAGAAGTAAGGCTGCTTCTCTGCTAATGTAATATGCATTTTCTTTTCACTTGTATTTAGTTCTGAGTTACTGTCAAGTATGGCAGATTCCTGCAGTATTGTATCAGTGTTACACGGATGTCATCAAATTGGACACGGTTACGATTGAAGCATTCAAGCCTCTGCTTTCTTCAGAAACCCTGAAGAATTTAGTCAAGGTAAAATCTCATACTGGAAAATTAATGGGAGATTTGGTCTGTCTTGGTCATTCTTTCAATAATTTTAGTTGGCTGGTGATGTGACCCCACCAGTAGAGTGAGTGTGTGTATTGTGCAGAAAGGTGCAGGCTGTACTGACAATTTCTTAATGTAGACAGTGATTTCTGGTATAGTACTTGTTGCAACTTTTCAGGCTCTTGCAGTGGCATTGGTATTGTGGCATTGGAGTAATTTCTTGTGTTTATTCAAGCTACAGCTCCCTTTGTAAGTGTCTAAAATGTCTCAGTATATGTATCTTTTTTTTTGACATTCTACATGCATATGGAAGGCAGTTCTGTTCTCGCTCTGTATCTCACTGCCTTGTGAGATACATGAAAGCTTCCTAGGAAATTTTTGACCTGCGGATTTTTACTAGACTTACTAGACAATCTATGAAGATGATTTTGCAGTTTTGTTCTAACCAAACAGCTCTGAAATCGTGGCGTTCTGCCTATTAAAGCAAATGTCTTCCTATTTTATGAAATGTTTTTAATTGAAGTATAGTTGATTCAAAATCCATTCCTCAGTTTTGCCACTTGGACTTCTATTTCAGTGACAGAAGAGGTTTCTAGGTACTGAAGTACTTCAGCTTTAAGTGTGGGAATTGGGAGTTACAGGTCTGCTATGTGAGTCTAACAGACTGGCACGTAAATGTTTAAGGTTTGGAGGAAAACAACAGCAGGAATGCAGACCGGCCCTCCGCTATACAAGGGAGGGGGAACACAAATTGAGGAATCCCGTTGCATTGTTAAATTGCAAATTCCTTTGGAGCCTTTAGTAGTTTTCTGGATACCTTCATTCAGAAGACATGAGCTTTGCTTGCAGTTAACATATTGACCGAACTGGTATTCTTGGTATTGAAAATAGGAATGGCTGACAGTGAGTTTTTTCTGTTTGGTTTGCTTTTGTCAGTTAATAGAAGTGTAACTAATGCTGATCATCTCTTCCTTTTCCTAGGATGTATCTGAAAGCACAAAGAGTTTGAAGAAGTTACTGACAACCAATGAAACTCATAATAATATCTATATCTAAAGAGGACACTTCCAACAGACTGCACTTTTTTAAACTCCAGTTTGTTCTGTAGAGGACACTTTGGAATTGTAGTTTTTCCTTAAAAGTGGAATAAATTCTGCTCAATTTTTACTTCTGAATTCATTTTCGTTACTTTCTAATTCATCACTACAAACATATTTCTTCTGCAGGGGATGAGAGACTTTCTTCAGGAGCAATTTTATGTAGGAAAGATATCTTACATATGTAAGCAATCTTTTTCTCCTCCTGAAGGAATTGTCTAATCTAAATGTATCTCTTATATACACAAATGAAGAAATTCAGGTATTCTGTCTGTATCTAATGAGGGCACCTTTTTTTTTTTTTACTTCAGTTTGAGACAAAAGTTTCTTTTTAATATATGAACCTCTTTAAAAATTCGTCTGTGGTGAGGCAAATATTCTCTGCATCTTTTTACACATTTTGTGTGTGTGTGTATATATATATATATGAATTATTTATATGTACCTGTGCATATACAGACTTCATACCTAGTGATACAAAATGCAGTAAGTAAAGTAAGGTAAATACCTTTTAAAGACTTCCTAGCGGACAACAAGCTTGCTTTACAGATGAGGCAGGAACACAGAGCTTTTGACCTGTGTGGAAGGGCTGTGACTTGGATTCAGTGAGTAGATCACAAAGTCACAGTGGTTTAGGATGACTCTGGCTGTAAGTCTGGCGGGAAGAGGTATGTGTCCGTGTTCAGGTGCCTCAATTCCTGTTTACAGTACCTCGCTGTGGGCTCACGTTTGTAGGCAATTTCAACTTCAGATGTTGAGCTGGAGCTGTAGGGGTGCAGGCACAGGCACTCCCTTCTGCCAGACCTCTGACAGAGACAGGAACCTCTCCCAGTGAAACAGGGTGGTGGGCTTGCAAGCTGCTTCATCTGGATTCACCAGGGCAAACTTTAAAATTTTAAATTTCATCTTTTGACTTCAATGATTTTAGTTGCTGTCAATAGTAAGAAGTCTCTCACGCTGAAGGTGTGATTTTCAGAGAAAAGTAGAAATTCAAATTCTAAACTGTTTCAAAAGTCCTGAAAGTTTATGACAATTTATACAGCATATTTAAGTTGTTTATTAGGATTGGCGTGTATTTCTGACTGATGAAAATGCTGTTTAATTCAATGTTTTATTTAAGTATAAGATGCTTAAGAAAATATTTCTGTTGCTACCAGGTGTGTCTCTGGTGCAGTCACTGAACAGCGATCTCCAAATTGCACATAACCTGTCCTTTTGGGCAATACGGGTAGTGGCTTCAGAGTTCTCTACTTCGTTTAACTTACACTGGATGTCCAGTGGAAGTTTCTGAACGGTGCGTGTTCCCTTCGTGGAGCTGTCATCCTTCCTGGTTTGAAAATGGTTGGCGTAGTCAATATCCACTGATGAAAGTAACTCCTGGCTTCAACAGACCCACTGTGAATTCTGTTTTTTGAAACTTTTAACTGCATATTCTATCAGTTTCCGCTGTAGTAGGTTATTGTTAGCCATATAAAGATTATTAAAACATGATTTCAGCTTCCGTTAATATAACTAGTTAACAAAGAAACTGTTACTTTAAATGGTACTGTATTTTCAAATAAACTCTTGAAGCATGAAGTGCAGGACATGGTTCCTGCTGTTCTTTCCATTTCTGCACAGTATTTTAATTAAAATCTGTTTGTACGCATAATCTAAGTTGGGTATTCTGTTGCTCTGAAAGAGTCGCACGTTAGCCACACTGTTGTCTTGCATACTGAACGTGTTTGAGTAAAAATAAAAGTACCGTACAAGAAAAATCTTTAATAAAAATATGCAGGCTCTTAGAGAACTGTAAATGTATTTCTAGTACTGCTTTTATTACCCATGCAATTTACAGTGTTTAAAATGTTGTCCATGGAAGTATAATGCAGCTTTTACTACTGGGGCTTACACTGAAATGTGAGAACACTCTTGAAAACCTTGAATAAAAGTAGCAAGCAAAACTCCAGCAGTTTGGCAATTAAAAGGCTGAAAACTGGTGTATGCTTTGAAGCTAGAATAATTATGCTTTTGGAGCATTCTGCCAAAGGCTGTGATCACTCTCTGTAGGTGGGAACATTTACCTGGGGTGTGATGCTTTTTCTGTTAGATACCTTCTGGCTAGTGGTTTCGCTCTGCACCCGGGTACGTTTCTGTGGATGACCTTGCAGGTGAGGTCAAGTTCTCCCTGATGTGGATTGGTTGGTCTGGGCAAGTTCACAGCACATAGTAACTCACACTCTCTCTCTTAGAGTCATAGAACAACAGAGTTGGATTTGTCTGTTAAAGACCACCTGGTTCCAGCCCCTGCCATGGGCAGGGACACCTCCCACCAGCCCAGGCTGCCCAAAGCCCCATCCAGCCTGGCCTTGAGCACCCCCAGGGCTGCAATAGATCCTAGTGTCCACATCAACAACAAAGACAGTAATAGTGGTCCCTTATCTGTGCGGGCTGGATTGCATTGTGTGAATTTGAAACCTTTTCTGGTACACAATAAGTAGTAAAAGACAGTGCAAGAAGATACTTTGACTTGAATCTATTTTTTCCATATGTATGAAGTAGCTCAGCTTTTCCCCCTTAAGTCACCTAGAAGCATCAGAGCTAGTGATTTAAGTATCTCCTAAGATCTGAGTAGTGACTAAAGTTTTTCTCATATTTGAATATGCTTTCTGGTAAAATTAGAGCCTGCAATAAGTTTTCGTTGTGTATAACAGGTACTGGCTTTTGTAATACATGCAAGAATGTATGAACATTGAACTCTTTTATCAACTGTGGCTGATAACTTTGGAAGCTTTGGGGGAAGAAGTGACTTGTGGATTTTTGTCTGCGAGTCTGATATGTGGCCGCCCAGGACTTGTTTCCTTAGGGCATTGAGCTAAATGCAAGTGGTCAAATCAGACAGGGCAAACTGTTAGACTGAAGAGGCTTTTTTTTTTTTTTTTTTCCACTTTTCATGTCATCTAAGCCACTTGCTGACAATATTTTTTCAGGTAAACATCAAGCTCTCCTCTGCTGACGAATGTTGTCTTCCAAACAAAGGTCACAGTCTTTTTTCAAGTCCGGTCTGCTTTATCATGCTGTGAATACACTTGGTAGACAGAAATGTTCTCTCTTTCCTCAAAGGCTCTGTCTGACTCAAAGGTGGTGTGCCTGACCTAATGCATGAGTCTTGGAATTGCAGGGATATTTGGTGAGGCTCCTCGCTATTGGTGTCTGTGCAGTTCTGAGCACAGATGGAGAGTACAGGACTGTACAGATACTTAAAATGCAGTATTCAAGACAGATCTGTATTTTATTCCAATTTGTTATGAAACCTCCACATTTGAAAGCCCAAAGCAGTAATACAACTATTTCTCTGTTTTCATTTCCCCCATCTTTTTTGTATTCCTGTACAGTGCAGCAGCTCTCCAGTAATAAAATTGCTGTAGTTTTTTGAAATGCAGCTGGAACAAACTGTGCTCTCCTTGACCTTTTCGCTATCTCATTATTCATTTTTGACTTGACATAGTGTACAAGTTCTCCTTCGTGTGGCTCATCAGCAGAAACAAGCCCAAACCTTCCTGCTGGAGCCCAAGCCTTTGGTGGCACTGAGGCAGTGCTATTGACACTGAAGCAAGTGAGTGCTCAAAAGGTCCAGTGTCACAGATGGGCAAGGCTGAAGGAGGAATTTGTTTCTTCTGCTTCAGGCAAGTTTTCTGTGTAATGCTGGGCGAGCCTCGTGAAGGGCACCTGGCATGCTGAGGGGGGTCAAGTGGAGGTACCTGGGACCTGGTTTGCCAGCGTCCTGAGTGCTTGCAAGATGAGCTGTGGGAATAAAGCTGGATCAGGATGCTGAAAGGAGGAACAGAATTATTGTAGTGAAACTTGAAAATGGTTGAAAGGTTGCAGATAATGAAAAAGATTAAAATAAAAGCATTTTGAAGCATTTTGTACAACCTGACATGTTCTGATTTTTTATTTTTTTTTAGGTCTGATTCAGACTTGGATCCTTTTTTCATGATCTACCAAATATAATATATATATATATATATTTTTTTTTTTCCACCAGCTCTTTAAAGCCATCTACTGCTCTGTAGAGAATTAACAGCAGAATGAAGGCAAAAGAGTCACCACCACTGTGGGCAGCAGCATCGCAGCCAAACAGATGAGTGGGGAGTACACAGCCTCTGTTAAAAAAATGTCTGTGGGTAGAAGGGCTGCAGTTGTGTGAGAGCAGAGACAGCCAGTATGGAAAAAGAGATGGCACAGCTGAAAAATCATGATCATCCTATAAAATTGGGATTTGAGGTGGTTGCTGTGAAATAGGAAGGAGCAGGAGGCAAGGAGCGTTGGCTGCTCCCTGCTGGCTCTGAGGAACCCTGACAGGTCAGAGAGGAGGCCTCTGTGCTGCTCAGCTTAATTCCCTTCCAAATGGGATTGAAAAAGATATTTTTAGTACAGAATAAGCACAGAGAGCAAGTGCAAAGTACCGTGCCAGGCTATTTCTACCCTTAAACCCTGGGGTGTACCCGCAAGTGAACCCTGCCAGTTGCTGTCAGCAGCGAGCAGGTCTTCTATGTGCTGCTTGGGAAGTGCTGGTACCAAAGGTACCAAATTTTCACCTGAAACAGGAATTGAGAGTCCCCCAGTGGGGCTCCATCAGTTTGGTAATTTTTGTAGAGTGGCAGGAAACGAGCACGTTTGAGGTGGTCTTGCAGTGCCACGTGTGAGGAGATGCTCTGCAATAGTGGATACAAAAAAAGGCGATTCAGCAACTTCCCCTATGGCTTGCACTTCATCCACTTCACTGTGAGGTGCATGAGGGTGCATGTGGGGATCAGTTTCTCAGGACTATTGAATTTTCGTAGACTTTAACAAAATAATTTAATCTCTGGGTTTTTTAACATGTAGGCTTATATTCACGTTATGGTAAGCACATTTTCCATCTTTGTGAATGTGGACTTCTGCTCCTACAACCCTTGTTGCTGAGGTCTTAGGAGTGAAGAAAATTAAGCATGAATCCCCACAGGCTCCCAGCTGACACCCTGCCTGGCACGTAAAGAAACTTTGGGTGGTGCAGGTTTGTCCGGGATAATTGTCCATTGAAGACTTTGTTGGTTATAACTGTAAATGCTCTGTTTTGTGTCCTCCTGGACAATAGCCCTATTGTGTGCTTTTCTGGAGCATGCCTGATGTGGAGGTGACTACAAGGTCAGAAATCAAAATGGCAGGATGATTGGTTCTGTGACATTCATTTGTGACAACACTGCTTTCTAGAGCTCACGTAAATTTTAGTTTTTCACTAACCTTTTCCATTAGTTCAATATTTGCATTTAAAAGAAAAAAAAAAAAGCTGGGAGAAGTCAGCGCCAGAGATCAGATTTTGTACGGGTTTATTTCCAAGAAGTTTTTCAGCTCAGTTCTGATTCAGGCTCAGCCATGCCTGACATTATTCTCCATCAGGCTGATTCAGGCTCAGCCATGCCTGACATTATTCTCCATCAGGCTGTAAGAGTCTGGTCCTTGATGTAGTTACCCTGAATGCATTCAGACTATAACACCTGCTGGAAAAAAAAAAAAAACAAAAAAACTTTTATTTGAATGGAAGGGCTCATGGTAGGGGCACTCAGAGCACAGGGCTCACCAAGCAGCATCCCAGCTCCTTCTCCTGGTCACACATCCTGCCTTCGAAGGGATCACCTGGAGGCACAAAGACACCTGCCTGCTCCTAGGAAATAAAACAGGAGGTGTTCTGGCTGAGGTCTCAGACCCAGGCAGCTCAGTCGGTGCTGCAGGTAATGGCACATGCTGCTGCACTGTGGGGCAGAGGGCGTCTGCTCCTGGCAGCAGAACAGCCAGTGCTTTCCCCAAAGAAGGTGCAAAATTTCCTGTGCTAAAAAATGCTTTCTGTGGTATTCAGAGCAGCCCAGTGAAACCACAGGCTGCAGAAGTGGGTTTCACGTGTGTGCCAGTGTGAATCACGTACTTCCTTACAGATGGGACCCAAACGCTCCAGAGCCGTCCCCAGAGCTCTGCACTGTGTCGGCAGCTCTTCATCCACTGGGAAGCAGCTCACTCATAATGGAAATAAATACCAAGCCTTGCTCCATAAGAGTAAGTAGGGTGCTATAACATCACGTTTATTTAGCTTTCAGTCCTTTATAGTGCTTTGTGAACAGGATCAAAAGCGGTTTTTTTTGGCTGTGGTGTTTTCATCCTGCATTACCCTTGCTGCACGCACCTCACGTTGGACCCTAAAATTCAGGTCAGTTGGTAAAGGTCTTGACTTAATCGGCATGGGGCAGAGAAAGCAATGCTCACTGGAATGATCGGTCGTCGGAGAGGAAAGCCTCTTGTCCTAACATCTTGTGTCACAACTTCTTGTGTCACCTCTGCCTGGGGCTGCAGCCCAGGGCTCCTGCAGAGCAGCCCGTGGCCCCGGCCGGGATGCTGCGAAGTCCCAAAAGTGGCCTTTCATGTCGGAGCAGCAGTAAGCCAGCCTCGCCTTTCCTAGTGCCGACATGTGGCTTCCAGGCTTCAGGATCCGATGCATGTTATGAAAATTCATGTGTGGTGAATTTAGACCATATTTTAATAATTTGGCCACCTGTACAATATCCTAATA